CTTGCAGCAACCTATAATACATCCACAAGCAGTTTATTTTGAGTCAAATCCATTAATTTGGTCTTTTCTGATATGCCCTGAATCAGATGAAGCTTCCTATTCTAAAACTTCTTTTAAATACAGTTTGCATTGAGTTTAAACCTCTGCAAGTTAAGAGCCTGTTTCTGCCAGCCTTGCTCAGACTGAGAAGCACCTTAGTCCATGAGTTAGTACTCCATTGATTTCAGTTGGGATGGCTTGCAGAGTAAGGTGTGAGTAATATTTTACTCACTGTCATTCATGAGCCATTTCACTACTCTAGTAAAACAGTAGCAAGTGCTTCTCCCCACTGCAGTGTGTGGAGGGAACACTGGCAGAGCTGCCCAGAAGGGAATGCCTGCTGTAAGGGAACATGGCCCTCTAGGATGGGGAGGAGAGCTGCATGATATAGCTTGTTTCTTTCTCAGAGTTGCGTAAGTTACAATTATTTTGCATTGAGAAGAGCTGTGCTGGTGTTTCTGCAGGAAGCATTCACAGGGATTCAGCTCTGTATCTGCCTGGATCTTGCCTTGGCTGCCAGTATCAGTAGCTCTGCCCCTAGCTGATCTGTTATTCTTTGAGTAGTGTCCTTATGGTGCTCCACTTCAGGTGCGCTTGTGACCTATGTGCCTTTGATCAAAAAATGGTGGCGCTGGTGCCCAGAAATGCACCCTACACATCCTCATGTCCCACACTGAGGATATATGGGGCTGTGCAGGCGAATGGCCCTCAGTTTCTTCTCAACCACCTCAGCCTGAGACGGAGCGCTAGTGTGCCTGCTTCGCTACACAAAGATTGTTCCTTAGTCTAATTTTTTTCCCTTTTCCTTATACTTAAATTAATTCTATACTTAGTTTTGATTGTAGCAGGGGTTTGTTTTTGTAATCCCTTCCCTCCTAGTGGTGCTCTTTTCTTTCGTGATCCCCATTGTCCCAGGGTAGGCAAGGATCTCCGGGTTTCAAACGTTGCCTCACTTGCCAGGAAGCTATCCTGGCCAGTGAGGGGCATTCCTGGTGTATCTGCTGCTTGGGAGAAACACACATTCTTCAAAAGTGTTCTGTCTGTTCAGCATTCAAAAGCAGAACTAGGAGATAATACTTAGACTCTTAATGATAGAGCATTCTCTCTATCTGGCCTCAGATTGAGGCCAGGAGATGCTGGCTGAACATTGGCCTTTGAGTGAACATAATGCCCTGTTGACATCTGCATGTTCTCCCAGATCTGCTCAGGAGAGAACCTTGGAGAACTCATTCTCCTCTTAAAGAGCCCACTTCAAGAAAGCCTCAGTCTTCTCAAAGTAAGCCCACGTTGGAGACCTTGTGTCCCGCACTGGGTACTGCTGAGGCTCCAGGCTCCGTTGGTACGAACCTTGTACCTGGGGCTCTGAGCTCATCTTAGATGAAAGGCATCAAATGCCTTAGTACCGAGACCCTCCTCCATACCACAGGAGGAGGGCACTATAGTGAAGGAGTCTCAGCACTCTACTTCTAAAGTACCTACAACTCCTTTGGTATCTTCCATATATAAGCTAGCCACTAACATGTTCTCGGAATGGGACAGATGCCACAGTTCTCATACCATCTTTGTTCCTTCCAAGCCATCTTTGTTTGTTGGTACTGTATACTTCCGTCAGACAAGACCAGAACAGTCTGTCCTTGGTACTGACTGTGGAACCTTGCCCTGTACCAGCTCAACCCCACACGGTGCCAAAGGAATTCAGAAACTTCAGAGACTTCCTTTTTTCAGATGAGCCAGAGTCTCCCCTGCTAGTGGTTACTGTATGTCTGTCGGTACTGAAAGTGACATGGTCACCAAGACTGAACTATTTCCTGGAACTGTTCGGTTCTCCAGCACCCTCTGAGATGGGCAGAGCTCCTCCTTTAGACAAGGAGGAGTTCTCTTCCAACTCCCAAATATCAGTGCAGGATTCCCCTATTCACCATTCAAGGGACTTTCCTCCTGCCACTTTTGGTGAAAGAGGGGAGCCACTTCCGAGACGAACTTGTGCCCCTCTGCACTGGTTCAAGCAGCATTGGATTGGATGCCTCTCATGCCTTATGGACTTCCTCAATGGCCCTGCTGGGATTCTTGGGCTGCATATAGACAGCAATTTTCACAAGCTCCTACTCTTTTTCATGTGGAGACCAAGAAGGAGATATTCTCCTCCCCTATTTATATGCCCTCCATTACGTCAGGTGTCGGAATCCTTTGAAGAGCAGGAGGCCAGAGCAGATAAGGAGGCTACTTCACAAACAAATATCTCCTCATCTTCTCTAGACGAGATGGTTATCTCCTCCACTTTCTCTGGCTGATGATTTCATACAATTCCAAGACATAATGAAACATATTGCAGTCTCTTTAGAGATCCCATTAGAGGTGGTCAGAGAGTCTCATCATAAGCTCCTGTATATTCTGCAATGGACACCCTCTGCTCATGTTGCCTTGCCAGTCAACATGGCTCTGTTGGACCCTGCTAAGACCATCTGGCAGACCCTGGCAACAATACCACCAACTTGCAAACTTTCTGATAAAAAATATTATGTCCCAGCCAAGACCTCTGAATTTTTATTTTCCCAGCCTTCTTATTCTCTAGTTGTGGAAGCAGTGAATGAATGGGGTGGACAGCACCCTGCTAAGTTACACCTTGTGAAAAGTTACACCTTATCAAAAACGTCTTGACATGACAGAACAACATAGCCTGTATGTTCTACATCAATAGACCCACCAGGGTGCCCTTTATACTGAAGCAATAAAGCTACTGAACTGGTGTATAGCCAATCAGATCCTCACTTCAGTAGTTTACGTTCCAGGCCTACAAAACGCCAGTTAAGAATCTCAGCAGACACTTCTCCCTTGATTATGAAGGGGAGTTGGACTCTCTGACTCTCACTCACATTTTTCTGACTTGGGGATTTCCAGAAGTGGATCTCTTTGTCACCATTACCAGCAGGAAGTGCAAACAATTTTGCTTGAGAGAGGGTTTGGCCCTTACTCTCGGGGAGATGCTTTCCTGATTCCATAGACAAGGAACCTTCTCTACGCATTTCCATCTACTCTCCTAATATTGAAGGTGGTAAACAAGATCAAGCAGGACAAAGCCAAGAACATATTAATAGTTCCAGTGTGGCCTTGACAGGCCTGGTATCCTTACCTGATTTACCTTGCCATTTGTCTGGGAATGAGTTTTCTGTCCAATCCCAGTCTTCTCTCTCAAGATGCTGGTTGAACTGTCCATCCCATCCTGGGAATTGGGCTTGGTTACTCAATGGTTCTTGGGGATAGAGACTTCCTGTTCAGCAGGTATTATTAAATAGTATGAAAGCATCTACACATAATTCTTACTTGCAGAAAAGAAAAAGGTTTCACCACTGGTGTGACCATCATCATCTTTCATCCATGCATTCTTCACTCTCAATGATCCTTGACTATCTGCTAGCATCAAAAAAGTCAGGATTATGTAGAGTTCCATCAGGGTTCACTTAGTGGCTATAACTAGGGCGCTACCAAATTCACGGCCATGAAAAATGCATCACAGACCATGAACTCTGGTCTTTTGTGTGCTTTTACCCTATACTACACAGATTTCATGGGGGAGACCAGTGTTGCTCAAATTGGGGGTCTGACCCAAAAGTGAGTTGCAGAGCGGTCACAAGGTTATTTTAGGATGCCGCCGTTACTTCTGCGTTGCTTTCAGAGCTGGGTAGCCAGAGAGTGGCGGCTGCTGACCGAGGGTCCAGCTCTGAAGGCAGCAGTGCAGAAGTAAGGGTGGCAATACCATACCATGCCATCCTTACTTCTGTGCTGCTGCTTGTGGCACCTCTGCCTTCAGAGCTGGGCTCCCAGCCAGCAGCCTCTGCTCTCTAGTTGTCCAGCTCTCAAGATAGTGCCACTGCCAGCAGCAGCACAGAAGGAAGGGTAGCAGTACCGCAACCCCCTCACCCACTCTACAATAACCTTGCGGACCCCCCCCCCCCAACTCCTTTTTGAGTCAGGACTCCTACAATTACAATACTGTGAAATTTCAGATTTAAATATCTCAAAGAACTTCATTTATTGCACAAGGTGAATGACCTCTCCTTCTGCCATTCACTCTACATCCAGCAATAGACATTGCAGTGGAGGGGTAGTGGCCAAGGACCCTTGGCTCTGCTCTCCTTTTTTGTGTTTGTGTGAGAGGTGTATCTAATGTTTCACTCTGTATGTTACATTTTTAGTGAGCATGCAGAGGTTGGATAGGGTGCTTTTTTGTTGTAGTATAAGCCAAAATAAATACATAGGCTGAGCACTAGACTGGAAATTGGGCATTTGAGTTCTAATTCTGTCTCTTAGATGGACATGCTCTGTGGTTTTGCAAAAGATGCTTCCCCTCTCCTTTGCTTCAGTTTCCTAATTTCTAGTATAGGGATGCTTTCTGATTCCCCTTCCCAGGGTGATGGGAGTATTAACGTTCACAAAATACTATATATGTGCTGAATATTAGTTTAATCTTTTTTTATTGTATTTTAAATGCTTCTGGTGTAATTCCCCATTATCACGGTTGCTCTGGAGTAAATGATGCCATTAGCAGATTTTTATATGCTCAGCTAATTTCAGTTAGCTGAATAAGAAATCTCCAGTAGCTGTAATTTGTGGCTACTGTCAGGTTTCAGGAATATATTTTGTGTGCATAAGAGAACCTATGTTCCTCACAAAAAATCTCCTCATTCAATATTTAAGTTGCAGGAGTTGAGAGTGAAATCACACTAAGCTGTGTAACTTTCTGAAATCTGAGCATTTGGGAGCGTTAATTAAAAAATAACAAAACTAAGCCCAGGCTGTAGCAGCAAAATCACCCCAGACTTGAGCTGACCTATTGCTTTCTTCCTCTAGGTCACTTTCTGGTGGTGGTTTGATTGAAGGATGAAGTTTAGGTTCTCTTCTATCTTGAAGATATTTGTATTTGTAAAAATTTTTCTCAAAAACACTCTCATCTTTCTTCCTAGAGAAATCTGACAGAGTATTTTGTAGCTGTCGATGTCAACAACATGCTGCATCTCTACGCTAGTATGCTATATGAACGCCGCATCCTCATCTGCTGTAGTAAACTGAGCACTGTAAGTAAATTTCAGAATATTCTCTTGACAATTCATTTTAAAAAGTGCCAGTTATGCTGGAAATCATCTGGGATAACTAGAATTTGCGTAATCACTGATTTAAAACTGTTTGTAGGGTGGCAGGAATATTGTACTAAAGTTGGATTTATTGTATAAATGAATATGACAAAGGGCCAGTTTGCAGAGATGAGGCATGGTTGGCATACTGAGAAATAATCACAAATCACTGGAATCATTAATAGCCATACAATCATTATGTACATTGGCATAAGCAGACACAAGCAGGGAATTGCAGAACAGAGAAGTAAATGTATGCTGTCAGGATGTATTCTGGCTAATACCTGATTTCTGGCTAAAAAAATTCTGTGTGATTGTATGTGTATGTATGTATTTATACAGAATTTTTTAGCCAGAAATCAGGTGTGTATAAATAAAAAACAATAAATTTATGACTGTGCTTGGGCTGTGGAAAATCCCATGACAAAGATGACTTTTCTGAGGTTCTTTGGCCCCTCAAGTGTTTGAATGAAAAAGTTTTTCTCTTGATACGGATGCTGTATAATAACATTTACACCGTGTTAGTGAAGCCCTTTTTCATACACTTATTTGAAAGAAAAATAGATAAATGATACTTTCAGACAGAACTTCTGGTGACCTTCTCTTGATGAACCCAGATGGTGGGCTCTAACACGTTAGAGAACCATATTTTTCGCAATTTTGTTTGATAAGATGTAGGCTTAATGCTACTTAGGTTCCATCAAGCATCTGAAAGATGAAAGCTGCTGAGCACTCCAAAGTGCTGTCTCTTCTAAAAATGGCTGCATATCAATACCAAAAAACCTCGCCTGATTTAGTTCAGAGTTTAGCATTATGCATTTGAAGTTTTATCAGTCAATAAGATCGTGATTTTATGTATAAAAGAAAATGTTAAGTTTTCATTCTCTTTGCTCTGTAAATGGGTATTGATTGTTTCTGTTATGAATGGTAAACAGAGGATGGTTAACTAAATGTTGCCTTCTAATGCTGTAGCCTAAATACTTGAAAGGCTCTTTCTAAAGTTTGAGCACCTATTTCCATTTTGTATGGTATCTGGCCTCTTAAAGGTCTGATTTTGATTGTGTAAGATTATAACTGCATCGTAGACTGCCAGAAAATACTGCTGAAACAATACATACCAAAAACATAAAAAAATAACATGTACATATTGGGGTCGGGAGGAGGAGAGAACAAACCCTGTTTGTATTCCATCTCCAGATAGAAATAATAATCTATCTAGTTAAGAAAGGAATATGAGATCAGAAGATTCAGTGTAATCTATGGGACATTCTAACAACTTCAGACTTTTGTGACCAAAACCCATAAAGAACCAATAGCATTTAAACACTACAATGATGGACATTATAGAAAACTGTTAGATAGACAGACCAATGCAGTGTATTATTCAGTGCACTTTTATATACACCCAGCATTATGGTTTTGCCGTAGGGTCAGAGTGAGCAAAGCTACAGACCCAGGACAAGGATGTATATCAGTTTGTGTGGGCATGGAGGAGGGGTTGGTTCAGGGAAAAGTGAATTAAACGTAGTATTATAAATTTGGAAGGGAGATGGGGCGGCATCAAGGTAAGGTAAGGGTCTCCCAACTATAGAGCCTGTGTGCTTCATTGGCGTGATCCACCCCTTGGTAAGGTAGGCTGGAAAGAAGCATTACTTACCTGTCACTTTGCTTTCCTTAATAAGCTCTTTCACAAGTAGGCTTGTGTTTTCCTTCCTTATCATCTTTCTCCTATTTCTCTTTCTTTGCCTCTGTCCAAGATAAAAGCATATCTGGCTCTTCAGGCGGAGAGTTAGCCTTACTATACATTTGTATCTTACAACTATATATATAAACTGCACTGAGATTGGAGTGACAGTTTAAGACAGGTTTGAAGTCTTGGGTGAGAGCCAGTGATTCCTTGCCTGCACACTCGGCTCTGCATGATCCAGCAGTAGGAACAAGCTGCATTATTTTATTTCAAACTGTGCTCAGCAGAAGCCAAGACCTTGTAACTGGAAACTTACCAAACTGTGAGAATTCTCAAAGTATACTCAGTGTCTTGTTTTTTAAAAAATGGAACTGTTTGCAATTAATTTAACACTTATGATTTAAATGTAATATCAAGTAAAGTAGAGAAGAATAAGCAGAAACCTTAAAAGTGGAATGAAATATCTTGTGCTACAATGTCTCCTGAAATTCATATTATGATTGAAGAGCTCTTAATATTGGCAAGTTAAATAAGATTTGGGGGTAATTGAGTGCTGAGATCTAACCTATTAATTATTCCGTGTGGATTGTTTGTCATTGAACCCGTGGAAAGTTATTGCCATTTTGCATGGCTTTTTTTTTTTTTTTTTCAACTGGCAACATAATTCACTCCTCAAAACACTAAATGCTGAACTGTGAATTTTACTGAGTATTCACAAGCTGAATTTTAACTATTCATTTTGTGATCTAATTCCTCATACAAAGACAAAATTAATCCAGAATGCATAAAACTGAGTGCATGCATATAGCAAAGGCCTCTTTGTGTTTGCATGCTCTAACTGAAAGAGAGAGGAAGTGGAGTATATCTTCTAGCCAGTATTCTAAGTTCCAGCATAGCTTGCCCTTACAGCCCTGCCCTAATAAGTTGTTATAACTATTCACTGTAATACAGGCAGTATAAATATAGAATATAGAAAAGATGGCCAAAGTAAGCAGCCTGGTGGTTCTTGGAGAAATTCACAAATTGGGTCTAATTCCTAAAAGTCCCCACACCTGGTTACTTTTTGTTGAGGTTAATTTAGCCACAACCAGGATATTTCCAGCTTTAAGCAACTATTCATGCAGAGAAGAAACATTGTTCTGGCATAAATAGCAAATTCTGATCCTCTCTACGAGTTGAGAGCTTGCCAGCCAGTTCTGTCCATAACCATCTCATAAAGGTAAAATGCACTAAGATACATTCTCTAAGTTCCAACATTTTAAAAATAAGTGAACATGGCACTCGTGAAAATGGTAGTGTGTGCCTAATAGAACTGGCCATGGACAGTCATGGTGCAATGAAGAGGTGTGCATGCTTCTCTCTCTCACCTGTTCAGCACCCCTTGAAATTAGATTGCCAGCACCTTAGTCTTGCCTTGCAAGACACCATCTCTTCCTTCCCATGAGCACTATCCCACTTTCTCTGACAACTTTGCCAAAGCACCTCAATCTTAACCTGCATCCACAACCTGCTATGGGAGTCCTACTCCATCACAGAGCCCTTAAATGCCTTTCAGTGTTATGCTGGTAACTTAAGTAAATTTAGAATGGTTGGACTTACAAATAATCAAGGTGTTTTGATGTTTCCAGTATAAATTCCATTTTTAAATCTCACATTGCAATCTTAATACAGTAATAAGTGCACACAATGAGACATCTAGAGAGAGGCAACAAAACACATTTGGAAATTGCTCCATATTTTGTCATCAGTCTTTAATTTTTCTGAATAAGAATGACAAAAACCCTTCTGTTGATTCATTTACACACACAACAACTTTTGAATTTTAAATGTGAAATTTTAAAAGTGAGTTATGCCAGTGATCAGTTTATATGTCTCAACTGGCTGTATTTTTGCATGATTCTCCTGCAGCTGCTGTAGGGAACTGGGGTAGTGGAACTGATCTCATTTTAACCTGCTGAAATCCTATAGCTTTGACAGTCTGTCATTTCTCAGGTTGTCTTATTATTAACAGCTTGTTTTCTGTATAACAGTCACTAATCAAATGAGTTCTGCATCAACTAAGCTATTTCTTTAGTAACCATTATCTTGGCAAAATTGAAGGGCACTCCTGGTGTCTACCCAGGGTGGTGCAATTTGGTTTCATGCCAGATAGAAGGTAGGATTACGTCTCAGAAATAAGTGACAGCTTACCCTCAGATGTCTTCAATATTGAGCATCATGTTTAGTTAATCTTTTTGTTGCTAAGTTTTAAAATCTTAAGTTATCATAATAGGAAATAATCAAATTGATGCTCCCTGAAGCTATTATTAAATGAAAAAGACTTCTTAAAGAGTTTATTCCAGATGTCTCTTAATGCTTTGGAGAATACACATCAAAGTCATAGTATGCACAGAACTTTAGGAAATTACATAGAGGTTCTTGCTTGGGAACTTGCCAGTCTCATGGTGCAAGTCGGGAATTGTGCTGTGCATTTGCTTTACTACCGTAAAAGCTTTTTTATCCAGCATGTTGGGGGAATGGGGGGTACTGGTAAGTGAAAAATTCCGGTTAACAAAGAGGGAGGGAGTTTGGGTGCAGGGGTACGGGAGGGGGTCCGGTGCGTGGGCTCTAGATGGGAGTTTGGGTGCAGGAGGAGGTTCGGGGCAAGGGGTTGGGGCAGAGGAGGAGTTTCGGGGTGTTGGAGCCGGGGGGTGCTCACCCCAGGCGGCTCCCCAGAAGCAGCGACCTGTCCCTGCTGTGCCTAGGCAGTGGCACAACTAGGCAGTTCTGCGCACTGCCTCGCCCTGAGCACTAGCTCCGCAGCTCCCATTGGCCGGGAACCAATTGAGACATCCACATGGAATAATTTGATATTTCCAGCCTGTCTCCTTGCAGATGCTTCTGACAGAACCAACCCCAATGTGTTGATGTGAAGTTTTGATGGTTCATTGATACACCTACCTTATACAAAACTCTTAGCGGAAACAACCAGCTACCATGCTCCTCTGTGGCACTTCATAACAAGAAATACAATTCTCTTCAGTCCTCATGCCATGGATGAGTCATCACTTTCTGATTAAAAACAGTAGAGTCGCTGGTGTTGCTGAAAATTGGTCATTGTTATCTTCCAAATATTTATTACATCAGCAATATATTTAATTTTTCCTGCCCTCTATTTTCGAAGTATTTATCAATAGACAAACTTTCTCTGTTAGTTAAAAGCCAAACACTCTAGTTAATGCCTCATTTAGACACCTTTGTTAAAACAGCTCACTGA